AGAAAGTAGAAGATTTTATTCAGATACTGACACCAGCTATAGACATGGGACTCAGGGTTCCCAAAGGTAGCCCCCAGACACCTCAATTTGGGAATCTTAAAGGCAGAGTACCTAATGTTACATTCTATCTACAGGCAAACAGAAGGTCATCTGGTACAAAGCAAGCTTTAATTTATAGAAACAGACAAAGAAGGCTTGTTAACATTTTGCCAGAGTAAGAAATCACAAAAATTAACCCTTATCTGGCTTTAATATTTCACATCTCATATCATTTTATAATTCAATCTCCGTCCAAAGGAAAAGTGAGAACCATAAGATTTTTAAGTATTGGAAATCCACATTCAGATCTATATTGGAATAATGACAGATGGCCACAAAGTTAGAGACTTCTGTTCTATGACTTCAGCAATTGTTTCACTACATCTATTCATTTTTGTTGCCCAAAAGGCTGTGGTCTTTACAGAAGTATTCCTGAGATCTTCCTTTGAGAACTCATAGGGTATCAGCAATCTTTGATCTCAGTTTATCATTTCATAACTCACATGCACACCCTGATATGTGTGGAGGATTCCTTGGGCTGTGAGAAACTGGGCCTGATAAATTGCTGTTTGAAGATCCACTGATCAAATTCTGTGCATGTCACATTCTGCATTTATTTTCCTTTAGGGTCTTAGAAAGAGGTAAATGTTGAGTGCTTTTGTATGCTCATATTCTTGTGGAGTATGAGGGGATGTAGGACCCACGCTCTATGAAAAATGGTGAGTTCATGCGGACATATTTTTTCCATATTCTTTTCACTTCAGACCCTTGGTCATTGTTGCTGCATTTTTAGAGGAGAGGAGTAGTTAATAACACCCAAGAAAGTACTTCTGCATCCTCCTTTCAAATACCAATGTATTAATGAGAGATATGGTAAAACCCAATATTTCTCTTCTCCCACACAGCAGAGTCAGATATTCTGCATCTCTATGTTCCAGCCACATCTCATTCTTGCTCTATTCTTCTAGTTCTCTCTTTAGTGCTCTCTCTTTCATAAAATCTTTCTCTAGATGTTAGTCTGCTTTGAATCTGAATATACAGGGGAGAATTAGTCACTGGTCTGAGAGCTGAGGGAAAGAACAAGGGTTCAGCTGTTCTCTCTGTAAAGTTCCATATCAGTGTCCATGTCCTAGGCCAAGTAAATGAGACCACAAACCTGTATTCCTCCAGGTTCAATTTCTCATGCTACTCAGATGACACTCACTGCCTTCTTCCTGATTTATATTCAGTTTTGCACAGCACCGAGAATGCATGAGGAAAATGAGGAAGCCAACCATCATGAAGAATGACAATATAATCAGAGCATGCAGGAGCCCATGATAATCTGATGGAACATATGAATGTAATAAGTAAGATGACAATTTTAGGATCCCTGTAACAGATTGCCTAATATTTAATGATAGATGAATAATTAATGAACTATTAATCTTTAGGACAAGATTCTTGATGAAGCTACTTTTCTTATTCTTCTAAATGCACACAGTATTAAACTGGCTCCTATGACTTTCCTTTGGATCTCTATATTAATACATCTCTCAAAGCTCAACAGGGAAGTTTATATTTGCAATATATGGTGATCAATACAGATATCCACAACTAGCCAAAGTGCAGAAAATAAAAGACTGTGGAATGCTTGACTCTATATGGGCCATTTACATGACATCTAATTCTACAAAGGCTCAGTGTTAATTGTGAAAGTGATGGAGCAAAATTATTGAATGAGGTTTATGGTAACAAAAAAGAAATAATATCTTCTGGACACAAGAGGACAGCTGCATATATAAACTCAAAAGCATATGTGACAGCATGCATAAGACCAGTACAAGTACAAGCTAGACCAAACCCTAGCTGCATTGAGGCTGTGGACATGAAGTCCCACCCTTAGTCAAGGGGTTATAAAGAAATGATAGCTGTTGGGAAAGTCAGTTTCAAGAGAGTTGTGACAAGTAAGTGACTATGCTCCAGTGAGAGGCCACACATTCTCGAATATATGGGCATCACAAATTGAACTTCATGGATAAATAAGATAACTGCTGGGTTGATTAGGTCCAAGAGGATTTGAATAAGAGGTTGTATATAATTAAAGCCCATTGGTTGAAATCTCAAAAAAACTAAGCAAATCAAATAATAAGAAATATGGATCTACATTGTAACACATTATTCATTCCTTTAAAAATGGTCATTTTTCCAAATTGTGCCTTCTGGTATTCTCTTCTGTCTCCACAATTTTTCTGCCTTTGAATCTTTTCATGAAGAAGATCATGTGGTACACCCTCTTTGTCTTGTTTGTTTTACTTAGCATAATTTATTTTTCTTTTGTTATCCTCCCCATTGTCATAAGGGGCAGGGTTTCTTCTCTCTATGGGTACATAACATTCCATGTTCAGTATTTATATGTGAATGCAGTGCTTTCTTCACTGACCCTGTAGTGACACACTAGTTATCTCCATAGCTTGGCCATTGCAAGTAGGACTTCAATTGACACAGAAATGTAGGCAATCTTTAAAGTATCGGCTCAGTTTCCTTTGGACTTAGAGTGTTGGCAAGTCTTGAACACTGTTTCTCCTCCACTGTCTCAGCTCCTATTACAGGAATTGATGAAGGGATTCTGGTTTGTTATCATGAGGTCAAAACTTCCTACCTTATTCTCAAATATACTGCTTTGAATGACTCAGAGTAAAAAATGAATGAAATTGTAAAGTAAATATAGATTAATAGAAGACAATGTTATCCTAATAAAAACTGAGACCTAAAAAAAAAAAAAAAAAGAAATATGGATCTAGATGGCATATGTCATATAACTATATGTTCTGCATTTTCTCAAATGAAATTCTAAGAATAAATATAACAAGTGCTCTATATTGTATGAATGGAAGTAAGGAGGAACATTCCAGAATAATCTGTGCTCTGTATCTGCCTGAACTACAAATGCCATATAGTTTACCTGTATGTTTCTATGGCTTCAGAGTATACAATTCAAGATGGCCAGTCTTTCTTCTTCCATGAAGAACTGGGCAGAGGGAAGGTATTCATACAATGCCATTGCCATTGTGCAAAATTCCTTAACCTTTGGAAACTTCAATTCCTTGAAACCTCAATTTTTATCTCTTACAGCTTACTTGCAAGTAATTCTATTTCATGGACTTTTGCATAAGTTTTCCATATCTACAGCCTTATGCCACTGACAGAAAAATTGCAGGACACAATGTAAAGGGCATGTGTTCAGTGTCTTAACCTGAGATTCATACCAGTGTTCATTGAAACTCCCATGGAATTAATATATCTACAACACCACTGAACCAACATTAGCTTCTCTCAAAGGGAAAAAGTGAAGTCAAGGCCATTCCATCACAGATAGATTTATATAATTAGTAATGTTCAGCTTGCTTCCTACCTTTTTCAGGCCTGATCATCCCTCTCTGAACCAATAGAGAAGAATAATCACTTCACTGTTATTTGGAAGGAAGTCATATTTCCCCTTCTGTTCACTTACAGGGGACTCAGGTGAAGACATTAGGGATTAAGAGTCCACATGGATCCCATGGGGCTCCTGAATAATTTCTGATTTTGTAGAATTTTAGAATCAGAGAAGAGAGATGACTAGGCAAAGATTCAGAGCTCTGAGGCAGCTGACACAGCACATGACCCCAACAGATTTGTTTACCTACAGTTTTACATAAAGAAGAGGAATAATTTACTCACTAGTTTTGGAGTCTGGTTCTGTGCATGAAGAGCCCTTTCCGGATGAGTTTACTACGTAATGGGAACAAGAGAGGAAGAGGGAGAGAGGGGGGGGG